GGTGTCAGGGTCCGGGTCTAGTCCAGTAGTCTCTGGTGTCTGGGTCCTGGTCTAGTCCAGTAGTGTCTGGTGTCTGGGTCCTGGTCTAGTCCAGTAGTCTCTGGTGTCTGGGTCCTGGTCTAGTCCAGTAGTCTCTGGTGTCTGGGTCCTGGTCTAGTCCAGTAGTCTCTGGTGTCTGGGTCCTGGTCTAGTCCAGTAGTCTCTGGTGTCTGGGTCCTGGTCTAGTCCAGTAGTCTCTGGTGTCTGGGTCCTGGTCTAGTCCAGTAGTCTCTGGTGTCTGGGTCCTGGTCTAGTCCAGTAGTCTCTGGTAAGAGAAGCTACAACAAACAGCTGACCGTCAGGTAAACAAATGTATTTTATTCTGTATTTTAGTTTCAAGTATTCACAGAAGAAACATTTATAGTTTACAGGTATTATATTCAGTCAGAAAGCAGTGACCTGAACTCATTTACTATAAACCACAACCCAACAACACGTAGTTCCTGGACGTGCTGCATCTACTTCCAGTTTTGTGTCATTAGAACAAGACAAAGACGACTTTGACTAAATATTCTGTGTGATTGTGATTCCGGAGTCATGTGGTGACTCCATGAACAGTTCAAGGCTTTATTGATCTCCGGCTAATCTCACACCTTTCTTAGGTAGCCTACAATTAGTTTAGCTTAGCTTAGCATATCTTGGCTTAGCATAGCAACGACCACCAGAACATCTCTCTACAGAGACAAGTGAGAGCAGCTGAGTGTCGATTGATAAATAGTATTGTCTCACTGATGGTTCCATCCACATATTCGCGAGGACGGTCCGGGATGTCACAGTTTGTGATGTCACTCTGGGTCACAATGACTAATGTTTGCAATCAGGCCCGTTTCCATCGATGAGGTCATCGCCGCGTCCATTTGATCAGAGTCTCCGGGGAACGATACAAGAAGATGAGCTTGGCGTAAAGCTCCTCCTCCAACTCCAGCTCACCTGTCTCTCTCACCTGGAACAGAGAACAGCCAATGAGATCGGAGAAGCCCCCCTCGGCGTGTTGCGGAGCTCACAGAGTTTCCTCTCAGGGAGTACCAGGAAGACGTCAGTGCAGAGCTTGAGGATGCGGTCGACACACGGCAGCTCCTCAAACATGATGGAGTGACTGATCCCGCTGAAGAACTCCCGCACGAACTTCCCGATGACCAGGACCACCGACGCATAGAGACCCATAATGCTGCAGGAGGAACACGACAGTGTCAGCAGTGTTAATACTACAACTACTGCAGTGACGATATTACAAGTACTGCAGTATTGATACTGCAGGTTCTGCAGTGATAATAATACAGGTACTACAGCCTCAGTAGTATTAATACTACAGGTACTGCAGTACTTGAAGGTAATGTTGTGTACCCGTATCCAGCCAGGAAGCCCAGACTCGGAGGACTGACTTTATCACTGAACACGAACAGCTGAAGCCCCGCCTCCCTCCTGTCATTCAACAGGGATCCGCCTTCAATAGGAACCTGAGTGGCACCTGGTTGGTCGACAATCCACCAGTCCTGGATCTCCCGGCTCTGATTGGTCGACCGCTCCAGGGCCAGCAAGATGTCCATGTAGTGGTCGTCTGATTGGACCAGAGAAGAGAGCAGAACTAGTTGTTAGCAGAGTACTACAGTACCATTAGTAGTTTATGTTGTTTGTTTTATCATTTTTATATTAGTAATTCGAATTATAATCATAAATGTGAACATTCAGAATGGTTTATGATCCCTTATATAAGTTCTATAATATGTCAATTTAAATGTAATAAACAAAATAGAGCTGTAGTCTTTTCGATTAGTAGTATTATCATCGTATTAGTAAACCTTTGTAGAGCTGCTCGATGGGTTGGGAGTTGGAGTCGCTCGCGGCTCGAATGAAACACGGACACACTTCTTGTATGACCCTGAAAACACACACACTTAACACAACTCCAGCAGTAACACACACCCAGACTCAAGGCTCCGCCCCCTGTACTCACACAGGAAGTGACCTCGTCCCGTTCAGCAGCTGGATCAGCTCGAGGCGAGTCTGATCGTCCAGGTAGGTCACATGTTTACCTGACGCAAGCTCTGCCTTTGCCCCCAGACTCAGGTTCCTGTTAAAACAAAGTACTACACACAGTGATTGACCATTGATCAGACAATACTACTACTACTGCTAATACTACAGCTGCAAAATAGTACTTCCATGCAATTCGCTTTTTTGACAATATACTTTTTAGATGAGAGTCATGACGTGAAGGCCAATCACATTGCATAATTTATTAATTATTGATCAGTAAACTGAAGCTGACCTTTGAACAGTCCAGGACAGCGTCAGGGGGAAGTGGTCCAGACGGAGGACCTGGCTCAGGTACTGCCTGCTCGGGGGGCTGATGGTCCACAGAGAGTTACTGCTGCCCTGCAGCTCCGCCACCGTCACGTCCTCATGAGCATAGGCCTCCAGGAACTGCAAGGCACTCTGGGATATACACCTTGGCATCAAACTATGCGCTTTAGCACCAGAACTGCAGTTCTGTACTTAGGTACTTACAGGTGTGTAGCTGTAGGAGCTGGTGAAGGAGGTGAAGTCTTCCTCCGTCAGATCTTTGAGTTGATTCTGCTGTGCACTCATGGTAAAGATGGGCTGTGAACCACAAGAGCAGGTCGGGTTAGTACTATTACAAGT